TTTCTTTTGATTATTAATGCTGTAATTAAAATGAATAAATTTCAATTATGTAATGCAAATTTATCAAGACATTCTTCACATCGATTATAGCTTTATTGCGATGGTGCATTCAAGTTTTTGCAAACGTCGTAACTCCATTACTGGTGTACATTTCTACAAAAACGAGCGCGTGCCTCGATTAAGTGACTTCATATAACATACAGTTACGGCTTTCAGAAAAACATGTAAACACTAATTGTCTTTCATTGAATAGGTACTATTAAAACCCTATATCTTGTGATATATTCGGTAACAAAATTAATTTTCCTAGAAAATAATTTCATAGATAATAAGAAAATAAAAACTAAAAAAGGTGTACCTATACATACTTTTATCTTATACTAGGTACGTACATTTTTTTTAAAAGTATTGTATATTTTTTTTAAGTTTCAGAATATAAAATCTTATGTCACTACACTTTTTCTGATAGGGATTTAAATTCTATCATTAAAAGGATAATATAAGCTCCACTGCGGCTCACATCATCACGCTTTATTTAAACTAGATCACGAAAGACATCGAGTATTCATCGCGAGATTAGAACCTGTTATTTCCATCACAGTGATACCAAGTATACGAATGTTGTCAATTTTAGATATTTTTCGAAAGTGCTAATGCAAAAAAATCGTCCCATTTGAAACATAAATAAGTAATGTTTATTTTTAAAGCACTATTACGTGACACTTAAACATTTAACACTCCTTAAACACTTTTACTATGTACCTTCCAACCAACAACACTTGAGATGGTAAGACATTCTTACGTAAATCTGTCTAGATATTACATTTAATGTTTATAACAAGTTATAACGGATATTGGAAAGTTTTAATCATTTTTAATCGATGAGTATCTTCTTATGATAAAACCACCTAATGGTTTCTTACTCGTTATAATATCAAGATAAAAATTTTAGACAAAGTGTTACGTGATTAATTTTAACAATTATTATATACTCAACACTTACAATATACACTTTACACTTACAATAAGCTGTTGTATTTAAAAATTTAAATGCTTTTCGTTTTATTAATGTGATTATTCACATTACACATTATAACTTGATTGTAGATGAATTTTAATTTAATATTTAGTTATTTCTTGCTAATCATAAAATTGTGATACTAACGAATAAATATAATGTTAAATATTTGCATCTATTACATTGTAGTATTTTCACTACTATGTAATTAGAACTATAGATAGATCTTATAGACACTATAAAAGACCAGATGCCGACCGTAACGTTTTGCTTATACGAGCAGTTTTCTTTGACCAAGTAAATCAAGCTTTAATGTCGTCATGGCGATAAAAACTTACATGTACATTTAATACTGGAACACATATTGATTTAATTTTTATTAATATAGTGTCATAAATGAGGCCCTTAATAATCTAAAATTGTAAGAATCACATGATAAATGGTAAGGTTTTTTAAATTATCTACCGGATTCAGCCAAGAGTTTCGTTTACACATCATAAATATAATAACGCATTGCTAAATAAAAACTTATAGTATCTTCCAACTTAATAGCAGAGTTACATATAAATTTAATTTAGTTTTTACTACAATGTATGACCTAAATCGTTTTAGTCTGTAATGTAAAAGTATAATAATTAAATTAATCGTAGACCTATCGTAACCTTTTTAGAATGTCCTTAGCGTGAGACCTTTGTGGTTCTGCCTAATATATTAGCGTATCTGTTTTTCCGATCGCGCTTATAAATTACATAGTTATTTATTCTAACCGACTATTTCACTGCTATACCCTAGCAAGGACAAGATTTTTACTTATTATACTATACTAAAATTTCCATATTTCAATGAATATTGAGAATTCTTAGAAACTGTCCAAATATTCATATGAAATGAGGTTTTTTAGGATTAGAAAGATGTTTTGTAGGATATGTAAATTTATGAAATTAAAATTTAAAAAACTCTTATTTTTCTGTTGGTATTTCATGAAATTATATACAGTCAAGTTCCATAGCACAAATCTACGTAGATTTTTTCAATAACATTAGAATATGAAACCCTTCAAACTCAACTAACAGCATTAAAATATAGATAAATAATTTTATTCTACACATGTCAGACAGAATTGCATTTTGTAACTCATTATTAAATACATCTTATGATACTAAATAAGCAATTCTTGTATACATATAATTTATTTGGTGTATCTCAGAAACGGCTCTAACGATTTTAATCAAATTTTGTATTTAGATAAGGTTTTGCTTTATAAGTTTTTCCCATGAACGAATTAGCCACGTTTTTCCATATAAGGTGGCTTTTCTAAAAAAACGTTATTTTTATATCTTTGTCAAAAAACGCAGAGCGTTATGTATAAAAGAAGTACAGTTTAATAGAAAATTGCCTAAAATATTCATACAAATGTATGTTTCATGTACATAAAATAAAGATTGTCTGCAATAATTGTAATCATAAGAGAATAAAATCTAAGCTATAGAAGTTGGTTATAGTTTCTACTTGTATAAAAGCCTGTATTTTGCCAAGGGGAGGTTACGCGTCTGTCTGCTCGCCCCAAGTAATCACGTCACTTCCTTTGAATATGCTAATGTTCGGCGCCGGCACGCGACTCTACTGTCGCTTCAGATTTAGGGCGTCCTGCCAATATTAGACCACCTGGGTGACCGATATTTTTTTTTGCTAGTTTTCACAAATTATGTTCTACATAGACTAATTTTACACAGAGTATTTTATAATAATTATTTAACATATTTAAATTCCGTAATAATATTACGTTGTAAATTAAATACTAAAATTTTGCATTTCATAAAAAGTATAAGCTAATAGGGCAGTCTCATATATATTGTGATATGAATGAATCATGTTAGTTCGATTCCTGAACAAGACAAGCGTGTCAAAATGTGAGGGAAGGGTCCCTCCATTTGAGTTGCGTAGAAATTTACGGAAAGTAGATTTTATTATCATATTTTAATCTTGTAAGTATGGTATACATATTTGTATGTACATATTTCTGAAATATTTTACTACTTGACGGATCAATTCGTTTCACCCTCAACAATTTTGTTACGTTTTATGATTTTGGTATGTATCGTGTCGACACGCGATTATACCACAGGTATGCGGCACACAGCAATTCTGACATTAGCTGTATGTGTATTCAGCCCTTTTTAACTTCCCACTGCTGGGCACAAACCTCCTTTCAGTACGAGGGGAATCAGGCCGTAGCTCACCACACTAGCCAAGTGCGGATTGGCGGATCTTAACTAAATATTATTGATTATGTATTACTTATTTAAAGTCTTATTTAATTTTCTGAATAGATAAATAAAATAAAAATTAGAAGACACGTCTGAATGCACCTTTACATCCCACCCTCTAGTCGTCAATCACAAAATGAGTATTTCAAGCAGGATTTATTTCTGTTGGTATTTCAAGTATGAAGCTATAACATGAATTAAAATATACCTGCAATAATAATAGACTTCGATAAAATTATTAGGCAAAATAAAAAATTAAATCTTATTTAAACTTTTATTTTTAAACAGTTCTAAATATTAATTTATAATTTTTACGTAAAACGTCATAATTCAAAAATTCTATAAATAGAAAAAGAAAATTTTATAAAGCTATTTATATACTTTGCTTTATTAAGGTACACAAAAAACCGTGTAAATAATAAATACGAATCATTTGTCCAACTTTTACGCGTGCCTAGAATGTGCGTGTTTTTCGCTGATCATTACTATTTCGCATGCACAGATTTTATGTGAATTTTCACTGCTACATCCATATATAGCTGTAGTTTTTTTTCTGTGCCACATATATATTGCAAATATTTGTTCTACTTTTATTTTTATATCTCACTACCGACTCACTCTCGTTTCGCTTGGACTCCCTAGATACGTTTTAACGGTTAGTATGGAATAGATAGAATATACATATATAATTTTTTTCCAACTTATACTTGACGTATTGTTGTAGACAGTACATGACAGATAGAGATATGTAAATATGTAGTAGATTAAAGTAATCCGAAGTAGTGATTCCCATAAACAGTTCTGAATTTTTCAATTTTCAATCTGTTCTTATGGGTTTTCCCTATTTTATCATAAAACAATAATATAACAAATAAAACAAAAAAGAATCATTCAAATCGGTCTAGTCATTTTTATGTTTTTAGTATAGTAGATTATATACGTGTATTTATAACTATAAAACATTTTACTATTTTTTAAATAGTATTTAAATGTTTCATTTTGAATAAATCACCTTTTCTATATATTAATTATAAACTATGGTCTTTAATAATTCTTATATGTTTCCTATAGTAAAAGTTAAAATGAAAATAGGAGTATTTCTATGAAAGATTAATTAGTTTAGTAGCTATTAAAATGGTATGTAATCAAGCAATCCACGTTATTATATTATTTTATACAGCTTTTTTTAGTTTAACATGAAAAAAAATCGTTTGTGTCATAAAAGTAATTTACGTGCTATGAACGTTGGCTTTATTAATTTATAGCTGATAAAAATCTATGTAGCTTTCAGTAGAGGTTTAAGCCTTAATATTATTTGAAAACTCGCTTCGCTTTCATAAGCTTTAGGTCTGAAGCTGAAAGCATGATACGAATCATGAAGCGTGACCTCCGCATTATAACGACCTAGAGTTCAATACACTCTACAATGTCAAGAAAATATTTTTTAGAACCATCAGATAAAAGAAAAAAAACCATTTGTATTAAAAATGTAATTATTTCATTAAAATACCTTATTGAAAATAAAAATTAACAAGTACTTTTAAAATAAATATTTCCATTTCAACTTATGATTTTGGAAAAAAACCTATAAACTCAGCGTAATTCAGACTGCTGAAAAATAAATTAACGAGGTCATTAATTCGCTAACCAACCCCTACTCGCGACAAAGGACCGTTACTGAAACACAGCATCTGCGCATCTGAAAATCGACTTACCTATTCTTTCCATGACCGATCTTGTAGAGCTCGACGTGCTTGAATTGGGCGTATGTGGCCATTGTGATGAAGGGTTTTTTTACACGATTAAAAACACAAAGTGCGAGCACTGCGCGAATCCGGCAGATAGATTTAGAGAACGTGCGTTCGCTATGACGATCGTCAGCTGACTGATCGCTCGCCGCTAGTACCCTCGCTTAAGTCGATGCTACCACCCTCCGCCCGCGCGTGAAAAGTGAACCGCGCATGCGCTTCCGCTCCTCTTGTTTTGTTTTTTTTTACTTACTTTTTAACTAACCAGCACCTGGCCCTTCCTGTATGTCATGAAAACAGATGACTTGTGTCAACAGATAGGTGTAGGTTTGGGGATGACGTTAAATATCCGATGACGGATATTAAACAGTTCAATAACAGTTTAGGGGAGTATTTTTAGTTACAATACTAGCATTGCCCGCGGCTCAGCCCGCGTTCAGATGACAAAAAACCAAATTCTTTATATTATATTTATTTATTTCTGGCTTTACATATTAGCATACTCTTACAATGCAGTTTTTGTTCTTTTCGAATTTTGAAAAATTACAGAAATGACACATTTTCTCGCGGTAAAAAGTATCATATATGTTTACCCGGATAACCAGCTATCACCATACAAAATTTCATAAAAATCCCTCCAGTGGTTTTTCTGTGATGCGGTAACAGGTAAACAGACAGACAGACAGACAAACAAAAATTCTAAAAACTATGGATTCGGCCTCTGTACCGATAATAATGTTTGTTTCAATAAGATTTTCCTAAAAATATTTAATGTACAGATTCGGCTTAGTTACAATTTTATTATATACATATAGATAAACGTATTTAATAATATAAAGGTTTAGGTGGATATTGTAACACTTGTGACTGTACATTGAGAATAATAAAATATTTTTCCTTCTAGGCAGGTTCTTTCTTCATATCTCTAAAATAAGCGTCAAAAATTTCAACATTATGTCACAGGTTTTTAATATTTTTTAATCAAAATATAATATGTTTTTTAATCGATCTAATGACACACTCATCACACTCTTACTTTATCACAGCTTAAGTAATAGATAGAATGTAAATGCTTAAAGCGTATAATTGGCTACTGTTTAATGAACGGCTCTGAAATCCGATACGGTGTCGAGTCGTGCGTCCATCGACATTGATTAATGCGAAGTATCGTCTGATTCCTATAATCTGTGCTTGAGATTTAAGATACAACTAAATCGTATAAAGAACAGCGTTTATAACTAACTTTTGTCGTTCATGGACCCCTTTCAGGTAAATTTTATAAAGAAATTAACAGCTTGACTTTTAAATTATCAAGAAACTATGTTGATTCTCAATAAAGCTATTCTGTTTATTTATTCGTTGAGTGTAATTTTTAAACTCCAATTTCTGTCGATACGTTTTATTTATTTAAATTTCTAATAAATCAAAGGCCCTTATCTAGTATTTTTAGTATTTGTATGATAAGATTTAAAAATAAAACTACTTTCTCGTACCATACCTTAGATACATTATATACAATGTATTACCTACTGTAACAAAAATTGCTCGTACAAATCGATTCATTTATCGCCCAGACCTTTATGTGCCTCGTGATCTAAAATTTTAGAACATTAAAGTGATTAAAAAAGGATAGTGTAATTTATATAAGAAACAATATTTGTCGTGTCTTTAAAATAAAAGAAAATAGCCATTAAAGTACATAATACCCGGGAAAGTTGTTAGTATCTTATATTGTAATAATTTTTCTTACTTTTAACATAAGTAACGCTGTTACTTTGGCATGAGGCATCTAAGCTTAAATCACCGCGGGTCCATTAAATAGTGAACCGTAAACATCGACTAATTCTGCTTAGTAAACATACGGATTATTTTTTTGTATAATACCGCAACTATCTTAATTTTTATTGAAAGCCTTTAAATATTTCTTATTCATTTTTATTATTTTTATATAAAATAGTTGTTTTTTTGAAGTTATACTTCTTTTGGGACGTTTGGAAAAAATTATGAGATGCGCGCGCACACCGACACCCAAAAAGCGACATGATGAAGTTAGTTGAAAGAAACATGATGAAATTAGCTGCATTCCTTTTTCTTTTTTCGCTTAGCTGCATTCACGTATGTCACAACTTTCTTCACGTGTTACAAACTTGAAAGCTTACAAACAGAAAGTTGTGACATACGCGATGAAATCTTTAGCTATTTTTGTTCTGTTACGCCAAAGAAATATAACTTCTATACGCGCGTACATACACACGTTTTTTTATATTTATTAGCTATCATTTCTACGTTATTACTTAAATAATCATAATTAAAAAATATTACAAATGAAAATTAAAAAATAAATAAATAAATTATTAAATTATAATTATCTATATAGGTAAAGTTTCGAAAATATTAATACATATTATAAGACATTCTAACTTGACTATAATAAATTTATTATTAGTTATAATTAATTATCTGTATACTATGCTACAATTCAAAAAGAAACGGTACACATCGAATATTTAATAAGATGAGAATAATAAATTAATACTGCGTCTATTGTAAATCAATCTCCCATGTGTTTTGAAGTCAGTGAAACCGTCATCCATCTTCTGTGCGGCACACGTCAAACAATCGAGGGCTTCCCAGTTTCAACACTTGCCTATTACAACATGTACAATTTGTTCAACTATTTTACGCACCTCTCAACTCGAACAAATTTCGACTTTAAAAAGTATAATTAATGATCATGGTGTTACAAAGCACCGCACGCACTCGATTGCGTTTACAAATATCTGAAAATGCACCGACATTAGCTTTCACGGAAATGATTGTTTACACCTCGCTTCCTGCCAGGTATAGTTCAATGTAGTCTATGGTGTATTGTAAACAAAATAGTTGTTTCCTATAAAGTAAATTGTTGGTCGATTTTGCCCTTTACAAGAAAAATATATCTGATAATATAGGTTTGTCTTTGCTTTTAGATTTATTTAAGCTCTAGAGCCACACAATAATGAGATATTTTTTTATTAAAAAACAAGTTAGAACAATTATGAATAAAATCTCATGTAAAATCATGTCAATATAAAAGAAAATATTTTCAAGATTCCCTATCCATAGAGCTTACACTCGAAATCCATCCGTCTGGCCTAGGTTTTTAAAAGGCTGTATGTCTCTTTTGAACCGCAGTCCTATGTAGCCGGTTCAAATATTTACATGTAATATTACAAAGATTTCTTAAATTATTCGTATAATAAAAATATCTTATGAAAAACGTGTTATGTTATTGCTCGTATTTTCATTATATTTTGCTTTAGCTCTATCGTAATTTTTCTTATCGTAAAATCTCTAAATACATATTTTGATGGGATTATAGTTTTCTATTAAAATTGAAAGTAAGTCCTGATGCTATTAGGGTAATCAATCTTGCGTCAAATTTGTCAATATCAATGCGATAAAATAATTCCATAAAGAAAAGAAACTAATATGTATGTTTGTATATAATAAAATGTCTTAATAGTATAAAATAAATAATTATACAGCAAGTCGGACTCACACTTGGCCGATTTTTATAAATCAATTTGATATCAATTTTTTTTATATTTCATACTCATTGAACTCACGAGATAATGCAATGTTTCATACTAAATTTACATGTCTCAGCTGACTTCACATTTTACATTCGCATGCGAATAAACAGCTATCTTTAAATTCTCCTTTTATACTCTCTTCATATAAAATTCAAATTTATTCAGGTTAGCCAATGCCTATTGATTATGTAGGTCTCTAAGAAATCTCTAAGAAAGTAGTAAAATACTATTATATTTTTTTTTTAATTAGCCATACGAATACGCTAGATCAAAGTTTTCAGATTACATATAACCAAACTTGTCTGTAGAATTAAAAATATAGGTGAATGAATGAAACTTTGCGTCGTTCGTGTAGATCCAAAGATTATTATTTACGCTCCGTGTGTTATTTATGCTGTGTAAACTGCCTAGGTGGTGTAGTGGCTAGCATGTACGGCTGCACACCCGGAGGTCCTGGGTTCGAGTCCCGAGTCGGGCCAAGTTTAGTTATTGAGTCTTTCTGTATAGTAAGTCTCAGTAACAGCCGGGAGTTGGGAAGTTGGCGGTGTTTCACCCCCGTGCCTCAGAGAGCACGTAAAGCCGTCGGTCCTGCGCCTTAACTCTTACCGGTCGTGTCGAGTGGTCGTCCCACCGGAGTATGAGAGTGATAGGAATAGAGAGTGCACTTGTGTCTGCGCGTACACTTGAGCACTATAATATCTCCTGCGCAGTTGGCTTGTCTCAATGAGATTGGCCGCCGTGGCCGGAATCGGCCAGGAGAACATCATGTTGTGCCTATTAGTAAATACGTACAGTCGTGTAAATATTGACCATGATTTAATAGTTACTTGTACTACGCGCTTCAGCCTATATACTTAGTAGAAAAAATGATTAAACAAGCACGCGACGTCACAGGTCAAACTTATTCTGTAAACATAAGTCATATTTTACTAGAGGCCCTTTACGGCTTCTTCCGGATCCGTTTTTTTGTCACCCAAAAAAATTTATTTCTAATACAAAATTTGTCACCCCTTTTAATTTTTAGTTATTGAATTTTTTTCATAACGGTTAACTGTTATGAAATATTGACCCTTCAGACAAAACCAGCCAGCCTATCCACGTCTGGCTTATCATAACATGAGACTCTACATTTAACATAAGATATAGTAGAAAAAAGTACTAAAGTGTTTTATATAAAACTACTTAAATCAAGATATTATAAATCACATCAAGTAACAAAGAAAGAATGGCCATGCATCTAATTGAACTAAAGAGCATTTTCTACTAAATCCTACACCGTTATTCCCAAGTATTTTTGTGCCGACGGTAATCTATTTCATGCTTGCAGCTGCTATCTTCTACTTATAATGATAATAGAAACATTTAAATTAGAAACAAAAGTATTCTTACCATCGTTTAAAACCTGACGTACATGTTAATTAAATATGGTACTTCCACACTATTTAGCAACAACT